CTCTTAATGGCATCATCATTGAAACGTCGCTTACAGTAATCGCACTGTTGTTGAGTGGATGCAGTAATTTCAGAAGTGGTTGGACCCGAGTATGTGTCCCCTCGGGCCGCCCTTATGGTCGCCAAACAGTATTCATGCTTTTGTCTCCAATTCCACTTCTTTGGCACCTCTTCCTCTTTATTCTGTAACAATATCGCAATAAATGCTTTAATACTGTATTTATAGAAATGACAAATAGTGGTCAACATACGGCTAGTGAGTCCTCATAAAACTTCAAGTATTCGTTTGGTTTTCCTTTAAATCGTTGTTTCATTGAATCAAATCTATATTTCGATTCATTTATCGCTGAATTACGAGTACAAACTGATTCATGTTTTTCCAAGCGTTCAGTTAATGCAAAATATCGGCCACAGAAACGACACGGAGTTCCCTCAAAGCTCACTCTCCCAGTGCCTCTCAATTGACGTTTTGTAGAAGCGATGGGACGGGCGGGTCGTATGGCCGATACGTTTGGCCTCTTCGGTGTTCTCAGTAATTCTTTGTTACCATATTTGTTGCCATTTGTAGTCAACTTTGATGAAGTTTTCAAGTTGTTGTTCCAATCCGTATATCTTTTGGGCTCTTTATTAATGACATTCTTTGCCAAACTTTTATCGGAAGTCACAGTTTGTCTTGTAATTGGTTTGTATGCACTTCTGTTTTCACTCAATTTTGTTGAGACAAATGGATTGGTATTATCTTTCAAATTATGTCCAATATTTGAAATTTTCGACACATTTGTTACATTTGAAGCGACTTTTGGATAATAGTCGTTGTTGTTATTATTATTACCTTGATGCTCAACTTTTATGAAATGAATTTTAGACTCTTCTGGTCTTAATGTAAGTCTTTCTCGAAATTGATTTCTCATTTCTTCTAACTTTGAATACATTTTAAGTTTGTTTTTTAAATTTACTCAAACTTGTATTAAACTTATATTTAGACTTCAAACTTGAAACAGACTTGATTATTGTCTGTGTCTTAATCTTATAAATGCTATTACATTGGCATTCACTGGAGTCTAAACTCCTAATAAGGAACTGAAGGTCTTATTAACTATTAGAGCGTAAGTGTGGGTCGATTCGACAACTTTTATGATTTGTTTTTAATGATTTTTTT